TGAGTCGAATATGATATTATGAGATTCGAATATATTTAATTAATCAAAATTTGAATAATATCTTGATTGAAATTTAAATATATTAAATTAAATAGAAAATATTATAATTAAACGAGATTTTAATTGGAGGCTCACAAGAATTTCAATTGCTCAAATGAAGAAATTAATAATTAATTTTGAATTTGAATCATATATTAATTGGGATTTGTATAATATTTATTACAATTTCAAATCTAATCAAATATACTAATCTGTACATTGCACTGGGAGAAATTTCTAGTCATCAACCATTAATCAACTATCAACTATCAGCTATACTCTTGAAATCTTGTAATACCTAATTCGTTTAAAAAAGGATTGAGCATGACATTATTAGATCCGAATGTATTCAATTAATGAGATTTGAATAATATCTTGATTGGAGTTTGAATATATTGAATCAAATGAGGAGTATTGCAACTAAATAAAATTTCAATTAGAGGCTCAAATGAAAAATTTATTAATTAATTGTGAATTTGAATAATATCTTATTTGGGATTTCAATTAGCTGCTCAAATAAAGAAATTAATAATTAATTTTGAATTTAAATAGTATATTAATTGGGATATGAATAATATATATTAAAATTTCAAATCTAATCAAATATATAAGTTCGTGCATCACACAGAAAAAAAAAATCTAGTTGCTTAGAAGTCCCAAAAGAACTCACTTGAAGTATCAAGGGAGGCTCATTTTAGTCATATGTGGTTTTAATCATCTTAGGTGTGGTTTTATTATGTGTGGCTAGGGTTAGAAAGTAATGCTCTGTTTTTCGGTCATTGATGCTGTGTTGCTGATGAAAATAAGTGGAAAATAACATATATTTATTATTGTAACCCCTGAAATGCAATGGTTAAATGTGTTGTTAATAGGTACATCGAAGGTTGTTAATATAACTGTATGACTTGTTATTAACAACCAGTCTCAAGTTTAATGTTGGTCTGAAAAGTTGATTGGGTGTGGATATGTGGGCATTAAGGATGTGATTCAACTCACTTGAAGTATCAAGGGAGGCTCATTTTAGTCATATGTGGTTTTAATCATCTTAGGTGTGGTTTTACTATGTGTGGCTAGGGTTAGAAAGTAATGCTCTGTTTTTCGGTGAATGATGCTCTATTTTTCGGTCATTGATGCTGTGTTGCTGATGCAAATGAGTGGAAAATAATAGATATTTATTATTGTAACCCCTGAAATGTGATGTTTAAATGTGTTGTTAATAGGTACATCGAATGTTGTTAATATAACTGTATGACTTGTTATTAACAACCAATCTCAAGTTTAATGTTGTTCTGAAAAGTTGATTGGGTGTGGATATGTGGGCATTAAGGATGTGATTCAACTCACTTGAAGTATTAAGAGAGGCTCATTTTAGTCATATGTGGTTTTAATCATCTTAGGTGTAGTTTTACTATGTGTGGCTAGGGTTAGAAAGCAATGCTCTGTTTTTCGGTGAATGATGCTTTGTTTTTCGGTCATTGATGCTGTGTTGCTAATGAAAATGAGTGGAAAATAACAGATATTTATTATTGTAACCCCTGAAATGCAATGGTTAAATGTGTTGTTAATAGGTACATCGAAGGTTGTTAATATAACTGTATGACTTGTTATTAACAACCAGTCTCAAGTTTAATGTTGGTCTGAAAAGTTGATTGGGTGTGGATATGTGGGCATTAATGATGTGATTCAACTCACTTGAAGTATCAAGGGAGGCTCATTTTAGTCATATGTGGTTTTAATCATCTTAGGTGTGGTTTTACTATGTGTGGCTAGGGTTAGAAAGCAATGCTCTGTTTTTCGGTGAATGATGCTCTGTTTTTCGGTCATTGATGCTGTGTTGCTGATGAAAATGAGTGGAAAATAACAGATATTTATTATTGTAACCCCTGAAAATGGAGTAGATGATGAAGGAGTAGAACATTTGATTAACTTCAATGGTGACAGTGGTCATGTATATATAGGAGAAAATGGAGATCAAAATTCACAACTAACAAGGGATGTTCCAATAGAAGAGCAACATGTGTGAGTTGTGTTTTTTAAATTTTAAAGTAATATTAGCTATTGTCAATTGTTGTGCATAAGTTGTTATTATAGTGATCGAAGGTTGTCATTAACGACCCCTTGACCTGTTCTGTTATGTAGGATGGAAGACTTGTTCAGAGGTTCAGATGCATTGTCTATATCTCTACCTAATGTGGTTAGTGAATACCCACTATCATTACCATGTGGTTCAGAAATGATGCCAACCCCAATTCTAGAAATGAATTCAACAAAGTAGAAGGGTTTGGTTATTGGAGAAGGACAAATTTTTCCTAATATACTAGCCCTTAGGTAAGCACTATATAGTTACAGTATTGTTGTGAAGTTTTCATACAAATTTGTGAAGAACAATCAACAAAAGATCATTGTGAAGTGTATGGCGAAGGGATGCCCATGGTATATGGGTGCATACTCAATGGGACAAAGACAAGATTTTGAGTTCTTAATAATTAGAACCTTAAGAAGTGAGCATGTGCATTATGCATAGGACAGCTTGGTTGTATCTCACTTTGGAAGGTCAAACTTAACATCATCAATCATGATAGATTCTTTGAGATGTAATATAGACAAGAATGCTAATGAAATTAGAAGAAATTTGTACAAAGAATATGGGGTGCAACTGAATTATAGTCAAGCATACAGGGGTAGAGAAAGAGCATTGAGGGAAATACATGGTCGTGCACAAGATTCATACATGGTGATTCCCTGGATTTGTGAAAGGCTTATTGAAACTGATCCAAGCACAATTGCTCGATGGGAAGGGTTGGATAGTAAAAGATATGAGAGGGTGTTCATTGCTTATGGATGTTCAATTAATAGATTTTTAGAAGGGTGTCGACATATACTTTATATAGACGGATGTCATCTAAGTGGTCCTTACAGGGGGACATTGATTTCAACTAATGCATATGATGCGGACAATGAACTGTTTCCATTAGCATATGCTATAGTCAGTGGGGAGACATATGATGATTGGGCTTGGTTTCTCTAGAACGTCAAAGACATCACAAGATCAGTGGAGACAACAATAGTTTCATATCAGAATAATGCCATTATAGGTGTTGTGCGGACAGTATTTGGTGGCGAGAGACATGCTTTCTACTATAGGCATGTGAAAGAAAATTTTAGTGCACATTATTTAAAAATCAATCGAGGCAAGGGACAAGTTTCAGGTACTTCAAAGGACGTCGCATTGAAAATACTGGATGAAATCACCTATGCAAGGATTGAGGATGAATATGTTGCTGCAATGGGGAAACTTAGATCATTTTGTCCATAATTAGCTGATTGGGCTGACAGTCAAGGAGATGTAGATCGGTGGGCTTTAAGCAAATTTCCATTTAAACAATAGGATAACATCACCACTAATGTTGCGGAGTCATTTAATGCCTGGATTTTGAAGGAGAGGAAGCACAATGTGTTAGTTCTCATACATGAGCATATGGAAAAATTAGCCAAGAAGATGGTTGCAAGTAAAATGGCAATGGGAAATTGGACAAATGGCATTGGGCCAAATATTGAGTCCAAGTTGCAATAAAAAGTAGCAAGAGCGGAGAATATACATAATGTATATTATGGAGATAACCGAGTTCAAGTTCATACTACATCTCCTATTGGAATGATTTGTGTCACTGTTGATCTCACAACACACAAACACACTTGTTTAGCATGGCAAATGAGCGGAGTACCTTGTGTTCATGCATGTGCAGCGATAAAGCTACTTCATGATAGTGTTTATGAATTTGTAGATGATTGCTATAAGCTGTCAGCCCACCAATCACTAGAAGACCCTCAGGGAGGCCAAAGAAAAGAAGGATTGAATCTCAATTTCAAAGCAAAAAACTTTACCACTGCGGAAGATGCCATGAGCCAGGCCATACTGTAAAGACTTGCCAGAACCCCAATCCAAGTTAAGCTTTGCTGGTGGCTTGTTGATATTTCGTTTTGTGAATGCTTGTGACAGCATTTTTTTGTAAATGTCATAACCTATACCTCAAGTTTTCTGTCATTATCTACACATGTAACCCGTATGCTTTTTTGAATGGGTTGTAAATTTGACATAGTTACATTGTACATATACATATCAAATGGTAAATGACACCTGGTTGTAATCTGATATAACATCATTTCTGTATTTTTGATGTACTGGTCAATAGGTTGTAATGGACTTGTTATCAAACGCCATGGAGGTTGTCATTAGCAATCTTCCTACTTTCACTGTTTAGTGATTTCTTAAGACATCCGAGTTGTGTTAAAGTCATAATATGATATGATTTGGTTAGAATTTGATGTTATGTGGAGGTTGTGGTATTCCCAGTGTCAGTTGTCAGGGGCAATACGAAGGTTGTTAACCAATTCTGTTCGGGTTGTCAACAATCCCTATTAAGGTTGTAAATGAATTACTGCAATAAAAATCTGCTGTAATCATATTTGGTTCAGTTAAAGTTGTTAATGACTTTAAAATGCTCCCAATTTTTGTTATTAAGGTCGTTATATGTCCTGATAATATAATTCAATTAAGAGCTGTGTTATCCCCCGAGTGAGTTGTCAGGGGCACTGCCAATGTTGTTAATCACTTCTGTTATGGTTGTGAACAACCCCTGTTGAGGTTGTAAATAAATGTGGTAGAGAGGACTCTGATATATGCCTATCATGTCACCATGGTTACCATTTGTTTATCCAGTCTTATTCAGTCTGCATTTCTGGACATGATGAAAACACATGAATGCCTTTACAAAAACTTGATAACTAATAAAGGATATCAATACACACTAGCATATCTTAACATCCAGCTATCATTACATGGTCAAAGAAAAGAACAAAATGTGAACTTGACGTTCAGATGTCACTATGCTGTCAAATAAATAAAAGTAAATACAATATATACTCGTCATTTATTTCTTCCTCTTGCTTTGGGGGTTTCCTCATAGCAAAGACAACACTTCATTGCCATGCAGGTTGTTTCGATGAGTCACGAGCCACCACAAGCATCCAACCTTCAAGTCATGGATTTCTTCAGGGGAGTACTTAGGCATTATGTAGCCGTCGTCACCATACTCAGTGCCGTCCCATGTTTGTAACCAGCTCAACACATGAACCCCACAAGAGTCCCTACAAAGGAAAAACAAGTACTTTAGTCAATGAACATTAGTTCCCAAAAGCTGAGACACAAGTACTTATTGTGCAGAATAATAACTCACGTGTCAGATTACACATGAACTTTTGCCCACGTGACTTCCTTGTCAATCTTGTCTCCTCCGCAAACAGTGATGGCTTCAGCACACGAAGCACTTGGCAGAAACAATCTCTCTGCAAAAAAGAGACAAACAGAAGAAACAAGTTTGACAATTGTGAATGACAAATTATCAGGAAGCATTAACAACCTTCACAGTAGTGAATGACAAGTAATCAGCAGGCATTAACGACTAGGATAGTTAAGTAGACAAGCAACCATAACGCATTAACAAGTTATAGAATGAATGAAAACTTGTGCATACAATCCCTCTTGCCATGAATTGCTTAGGATCTATCTTTCCTTTCCTTTTCCCTTGCTTCCTTTTTGGTTTCTTTCCTGTTTTGATTGCTTCTTCTTCCTTTCTTTGTAATCTCAACATGGTCAAATTGTCCACCAAGGAGTCAAGGGCATAGAAACGCATGGTTCTTACATCTATCACATAACAGAACCAATGGTAATTGAAAAGGGTGGGGCCAAATATGAAGTCACAGTCTCCAATGTTATATCCTATGTACTCCGGCAAGATTTCATGTTCATGTTTTTCCAGGCTCCACCTAAGAGGATTAGCGGCCATTGTTTGCATTAACTCGGGTGAAAAAATGTGCCTATTGACACAATCGTGGTTCTCTTTTTCATCTCCCACCAAGGTTCTTGCCACCATAGACATGAACTAAATCACAGATACAAACAGTTAGTCATGATCATAATGACATTGCTAGTTTTCTATCTATATAAACAACTGTCTTACCTTGTCGTTCATCCATTTCCTATCTTGTAGGCAGCAAAGCTCAGCACGTGTTAAGAAGTACCCATACATCTCTACAATGTGCCTGCAGCAAAAGGAACAATGAGCACAAGAGTTGTATGTGTAAAATTGTTGTCAGTCAGTTGTCCCAATTACAATCAGTCCCAACACTTACTTGGCACCTTCATCTTGATCACATCTTCTTGTGCACATCTAGAATAATTCCTCTTTCTCGTCAGGTTTTCTCTTGCCACGGGCTTTTTTCACCTCCTCTAACCAAGGAGATTTGATTGCACAGTTTCTCACCCATGTTGATCTTCTTACATCCATTTGCCCTTGTGCTTCCTGGTCTATTTCATCCTTTCCCTCCATATCATCGCCAACACCCTTACCTCTTTTGCTACTGCATTACTAGACTTGTCTTCAGTTTTTCTTCTCCATCATCTTATGATCCAGAGTCACTCCCTTCTCCTTTCTCCTCAGGTTGAGATTGAATCTCTTCTTCATGCGAAGCACTTTTGCCCTCTTCTTTATCATCTCTTTCTTGTTCACTCTGTTGTTCATCTTGTGACAGAATTGAATCTTTTGGGCTTCCTTTATCTTATTGACCTGTTTCTTCATCTTTAGTTGCCTTCTCTTTATCATTTTCGCTATTTACTGCTTCCACCACATTTTCCTTCTCAATCTCATCTGTTAACCTCAACTGCAGGGAAACCAACTCTTCTCCAATTGTTGACACCAACCCTTCAACCATGGTCATCAACCTTTCATATGTTCTCTTTATTTCCTACAAAATAATAGTAATGAAAGTTATCATTACTCCAAATTGTACACAACACCAAAATAAGCTTGACATGATTTACTTACATGGTGGGTTAGCTTTATTTCTGTGTCGGATGCACTAGATGAAGCCCCACCGACACTCGTAACGCCATGTAGTATGCCTCTGTGACTATTCTTTTATGATTTCACTCTTGCTTTCACTTTTTCTTCATCCCAATAACTAATGGCATTCTCATTTTTTATGACCTTTTCTTTTCCAAGAGGAAAGTGTTGTAGGCAATAAATCTGCATATGAAGTAAATGATAACTTTGATATACAACAATAACAACATGCAGAGAGTCCACTGACAACATAAACAGCAGCCAATTACAACCTACACAACATCCAATAACAACATACACAGTGGCCAATCACAACTTACACATAAGCCCATCACAACCTACATTTACGCCATTCACAACATGCACAGCAGCCAATGACAACCCATGCTCAATCGAATGACAACATGAACAGAAGGCAATTACAACCTATACATAAGCAAGTGACAAACCAACACAGGCCACTGACCTGAGTAGCAGCCACTGACAACTCACGCTAAACCAAATGACAACATGCACACCATATAGTCACAACCTACACATCAGCCAATCACAACCTACATTTGTGTCATTCACAACATGCACAGCAGCTAATGATAACCCACGCTAAACCGAATGACAACATGAGCAGAAAGCAATTACAACCTATACATAAGCAAGTGACAAACCAACACAGGCCAATGACCTGAGTAGCAGCCACTAACAACCCACGCTAAACCAAATGACAACATGCACACCATACAGTCAAAACCTACATTTGTGTCATTCACAACATGCACAGCAGCCAATGACAACCCACGCTAAACCGAATGACAACATGAACAGAAAGCAATTACAACCTATACATAAGCAAGTGACAAACCAACACAGCCCAATGACCTGAGTAGCAACCACTGACAACCCACGCTAAACCAAATGACAACATGCACACCATACAGTCACAACCTACACATCAGCCAATCACAACCTACATTTGCGCCATTCACAACATGTACAGCAGCCAATGACAACCCATACTCAACCGAATGACAACATGAACAGAAAGCAATTACAACCCATACATAAGCAAGTGACAAACCAACACAGGCGACTGACCTGAGTAGTAGCCACTGACAACCCACGCTAAACCAAATGACAACATGCACACCATACAGTCACAACCTACACATCAGCCAATCACAACCTACATTTGTGTCATTCACAACATGCACAGCAGCCAATGACAACCCACGCTAAACCGAATGACAATATGAACAGAAGGCAATTACAACCTATACATAACCAAGTGACAAACCAACACAGGCCAATGACAACCTGCACACAGGACAATAACAACCTTCACACCAGCCAATCACAACATATACATAAGCAGTTGACAGCGTATATTTCTCCAATTGACAACATAGAGTAGTAAATAACAACATACAGAGCAACCAATTACAACGTACACAACGCATTGATAATACAACTAACATCAAAGTAAATGAATCATACCCACACTTACCATTAAGAAGTACAAGCAACCTCCCACATTTTTCGTCCCATCAGCTTTTCCTTTCTTCTTTCCTTTCTTGAACTCTGCAATTGAGTTGCAGAATTCTTTGAAAACTAAGCTGCTCCAATCATAGTGTCCTAAACTATCATTTGTCACCACCATGACCTTCAACACTTTATCACTCACCCATACGCTAGAGCCAAGACACAAGAGGACTCCTAGTACATACATAACAAAAAGGAATTCAAACTTTTCTTCCACTTTTCCTTCAATCAACCATCTTCCTATTGTTTTGTATGGCACTTTTCCGTAGTCACTCCTTAATTTCTTGAATGTTTCATCTTCATTCTCCACATTTATTTTAATATCTTCCCTCTTAAATGGTAGACCCATCAATTGATTTACATCTTCAGGCCCCATTTCATGCGTCTTCCCTCGAATTGAAATTTGCTTACTTCCAGGGTTAAACACACAGATCAATTCACCACAAAAATCTCTATAGATTTGTGAGCAGCATATGTCAACCAATTTATCAAAACCAATTCTTTTCAGTCTTTCCATCTTATCTTTACTTTTCTTCAATTGCTTGCAAACTTCCATAAATTGTCCTGGAGCACACCGTGTGTGAAAGGGAACAATATAATTCTTCCCTGTTGCTGGAACTCTCATTTCTTTAGCCCTTTCACCATATTGTTCTTTCTCCTCTTCTGTTAACTTCCCCCAAGCTTTTTTCACAGAGTTAGTGCCCTCTTCAAAAGATTTAAACTTCTTGTTTTGCTCATAAAATTCTTCAGTAAATAGTATGTATCCAAAGAAATTCCTAGCCCTTTGTCCATCTTTTCTCTTACTCTTTTTAGTCATTTTGTTCAACTGCAAAAAGAAAAAAATACTGTCATCACATCATATTTTCTTTTCCACTGAAATCTAATAATATCTTCTGCAAAATAAAATAGGATATGAGTAGATTTTGTGGCAAAATTTCTTTTTATCTTATTATTGATTAGATAGAGAAAAATCTATAAAAGATAATTAAATAGACATAAGATATTCGTAAATTTAACCGAATATATTCTAAAATCTAACCTATTCAATTATAAAATATTTACTTATCAATATGCTTCATATTTAACTGCAGAAACTTCAGTTTTCTATCACTGTAATTTTTCCTAAAGGATTTGAACCCCCTAAAAACAAATCATGCACGCCCTCATCCCTTCCATAATCAACATATATTTTAAAATAGTAAGTATCTTCAACGCTACCAAATTATTCACTAATCAACAAAATCAAAATATATCCCTTTGGATGACAGAAAGAAATGAACGGCAGTAAACAATGCTACATATGGATCATAAATCAATCTACCAGAATGAATTTCCCTTCATTGGATAGTGTAGTACAGAGCCAATAGGTGCTATATCCAACAAGTAATTTCCTTTCTCACCTTATCGCCAAATTATTCAGACATTCCACCATGGAGCCCACCATAAAAAGCCAAACAAAACCTTTATTATTTTATTACCAAACAAATCAATTATATAAAGTTCTCCCTTTTTATTCAGCAATATTAACAATAACTGATTGATGCATTTAAAAAGCTCTAGCAAATCAAATTTTTGAAAATTTTAAGCAGTGTTCTTCAAACTGATCTCTAATATAACTTAGTACCAGCCAGCCCCAACTTTTACCCCTAACTTTGATTCGCATGTCAGATCATTGTAATATCAACACACTTCACATTTCTAATATCAGAGTGAAAATACAAGTCAGGATTATCACTGGTTCCATATATGAACACACGAAAGAACAAGATAAGCAAGAAGCTTGAAATTGTTAAATATTCTAACACACTTCAGGTCATCAAGCAGCTATTTACGAACAATCAACAATTCAAATGTTCAAACATTCAAAACCAAACATCTTTCAAAATATAAGCAAGAAGTTTGAAATTGTTAAATATTCTAACAGAGAGAGACTACTTGTCTGGAGATTGAGGGCGTTAGTAGAGAGACCACCGGACCGTACCCGAGATTGAAGGTGTTGACGGCGTCGGAGCAAACAGCAATAGAGTGCGAAGCAGAGAGGGATGGAGTGCGGAGTAGAGTCGGCTAGACCATGCTGGAGATTGAAGGCGTTGAAGGCATCAGAGTAGAGAGCGACGGAGGGCGGACCAGAGACCGACGGAGCGTGCACGAGATTGGAGGCATCAAACCAAAGACCGACAGAGTGCGGACCAGAGACTGACGGACCGTGCAGGGGATTGAAGACGTCAGACCAGAGAGTGACGGAGTGCGGAGCAGCGAGCGACAATGTACCGAGCAAACACTGACAGACCTCGCCAGAGATTGAAGTTTTCGGAGCACACAAGGATGGAGTGCAAACGAGACGGCGGCGAAGTGTGAGAGGGCGATGGATTTCACGAAGATGACAACTGAAAGGAGTTTTTCTCTCAATCATGTGCTTCGATTTCTTTCTTTAATCAGAAGGGCAAGAAAGTAATTGCATGTTTCAAATTTTTTGCTATAAAGTCCCTTGGGACCTCATACACATTTTATGATTTCATAGGACCTTTCGGTAGTAAAATCTCTTCTGTGGGACTCTACAGTAATTTTCCCAAAAAAAAGTATATGGTGCATATTGATATTAGTTGTTAATATATGTCACGATAATTGTTAATGCTTACATATTAACTTGTCATTTTCATGATACTAAAAGTCTGGTAAATGACTTGTTAATATAGGCACATTACTTGTCATTGTATGCTCCGAGTTGATTTTTAGGATTTATTTATATTAATTTGATTTACAAAGTTTCACATGAAAATTTAATTTAATTTTAGCAATAAATACAATCTATTCTCCACTTTAAGTTATACGTGATAAATTAAAATGGTTTTATTTTGAATAAATTAATTATTTTAAAATAATATGAATTATTATTCTAGTATAAAGTAGGGAATAATTATTTCTACCACTATCATTTGTTAATAACGACT